ATAAATAAAACATGAATTTGCCCTGGATTTTAATAAATTATATAGTACTTTTAATTGTGCAGGCTTGGTACCCCACACTAGTAGTATGTGAAATTACAGAAAAAAGCAATGTTGGTGAATTAATTAGCATTTTGAAACCCAGACAGAAAATTAGAAGATGGAAAGGAGGATTTTACTTCCTCACTCCTACAGAGAGGGTAGTTGAACCCAAGATTTCACAAATATAAACCTTTAGTTATTGGATGACTTTTAAACAGATGCAGAACTTTGTTGAATTAGTGCTATTCATTTTTATGTGTAAAAGATCATTAATAGTTTTGAGAAAATGGTAGTATCTTTTTAAAATTAGTATCAAAACTTATCTATTTGTGTGACTTTACCTTGATGTCTAAAAAACAGAAAACCTATGTTAGATTATTTTCTTCACTAATTACCTAGGTGGGTTGCTTTGGACTCTGTTTTGCTGAAAAAAAATTCTATTATTATTATTTTTTTTTCTATTTTCAGTACTTTCTAAGAGGTACTTTATGGTGTAACATGTTGCCTATTTTCAAAAATGTTCAATATGATGCTCAGAAAAATTGTATGCAGTCATTCGTGGATGAAATATTGTATATGTGTCTGTTAAATGTAGACTATTGATTGTATATATTAATTCTGTTGATTTGTTATATAATTTTTGTTTGAAAGATCTATCTAGTGATGAGGGTGCCAGGTTAAAGTCACCCAGTGTTATTGTGTTATATATTTATTCAGTGTATTAGGCACTTTTATCATAATGTGTCTTAAAGTGTGCTTGTTATGATTTTGTATATTTGGAAAACTGTATGCCTCCTTAATTTACTTTTTATTTCATTCTTAAGTTTTGAAATATTTTATTCTAATAACTTATCCCAAAAGTTGTACATTCTTTCAGTTTTATCTCACAGCTTTCATTTATCTCAATAAATATTAAATTTTACTTTTTCATATTATTGTTTTTTATTTTATTTTTCTTAATCTAGGGATTAAACCCAGGGATACTTAATCACTGTGCCACATCCCCAGCCCTTTTTATGTTTTATTTTGACAGATAGTCTTGGTAAGTTGCTGAGTCTTATCTCAAACTTGCTTTCCTCCTTCCTTAGCTTCCCGAGTTTCTGAGATTATTGAAATATACCACCATGGCTGGCCAGATCCTATTTTTAAAACACTTAGGTGAAGGTTCAAATCACTATCATGCTTAAGATATGCTAAATTTATTAAGTAAGATACACTATGCATCATCATTTATAGTTTAATTTAATTGTTTTGGGAATATACAACAACTAGCAGGAATAAATAAAGATAAGAATTTTAACATTTATAAAACAATGTTTTTATTGCATATGGTAAAAAGCTTATACTAATAAATCAAACATTGTATATATATTATATGGTATGTCTATAACAAACTATATGCAATAGGTCATATGTGTGTGCGTGTGTCTGTAAGAAAGAAAAAAGCAGAAATGTAAAAGGCCTTCACCACTGTCACCCTTCTTGATGATTTGGAAGCCTCATAATCCCTGTGACCAAAGACACCATGCTTAGCACCCCTTAGTACTGAGTTGCATACATTTTCAACATAGTTTTACTAGGATGGTATATATTAAAAGAAAAATAAATTTTACTAGTGTGTAGAATGGTTTTTAGGAACCACTACACAACAAGTTATCCTCAACTACATGGTGTAGGTGATTCTTTTTCTACTGATAATGGAAAGTTTCTTGCTAGAGTAGTACCTGGGGTTGATCCCAGTCAGTTCACAATAATAAGCAATCTTCTCAATAGTTTATGGAATATTATCCCAAAAAGACCAGGTTCAAAGTACAAACAAATATTAATAAGTATTAAAATACAGAAATTGCTTTCTAACATAAAGTAATTTTGTGGAAAATAAAAATAGAAGTGATATCCAAAAATTCATGAATATGAGTTTAAGGCCAAATTCCAAAATTTAGCAAGGCCCTATGGAACTTAGCAAGAGTGGTCTAAAAATAAAATATAAAGAGGGCTGTCAGCCAGGTGTGGTAGCCCATGCCTGTAGCTCCAGAGGCTGAGATACAGGGATCAAGAGTTGAAAGCTAGCTGCAGCAAAAGTGAGGGGCTAAGCAATCAAATGAGATCATGTCTCTAAATAAAATACAAAATAGGGCTTTAAATGTGTCTCAGTGGGCAATACCTCTGAAGCGTATTCCATGAATTCAAAAAAGGTTTGTGGTTGTGGTTCAGTGGTTAAGTACCTCTAGTATCAAAAAAAGTGCCTAGGCGGGGCGGGGCCTCGGCGCCGTGCGCCGCTGCCCGCGGTCGGAGGCTGGCGAGACGCGGGCCGGAGTCGCCCCCGGGGCCGGGCGCGCGCGGGGCCCTCGCTGTCGGCCGGGACGCGGGGGAGCCCTGCGCGCGGCGGGGCGCGAGGGGGAGCGGCTGGGCGGCCAATGCGAAACTGGCTGGTGCTGCTGTGCCCGTGCGTGCTCGGGGCCGCGCTGCACCTCTGGCTGCGGCTGCGCTCCGCGCCGCCCGCCCGCGCCCCCGGGGCCGGCGCGGCAGATTCCCAGGCCTTCTTTCATCAGTGGAAGTCCAGTCACTATGATGTGGTGGTGGGTGTGTTGTCAGCTCGAAGTAACCGTGAGCTCCGGGATGCTATAAGAAACACCTGGCTGAAGCACTCGCTGCGTCACCCAGCCCTGAGTCAGCGGGTGCTTGTGAAGTTCATCATAGGTGCTCGGGGCTGTGATGTGCCTGTGGAGGACCGAGAGGACCCCTATTCCTGCAGACTGCTTAACATCTCCAACCCAGTTTTGAATCAGGAAATCGAGGCATTCAGCCTTTCTGAGGAGGGTTCATCAGGACTCTCCGAGGCCCGGGTCGTCAGCGTGAGCTTCCGAGTGCTCCACCCGATTGTCATTACCAGCCTGGGAGTGTTCTATGAAGCCAGCGACGAGGGTTTCCAGAGAAACATCACGGTCAAGCTCTACCAGGCGGAACAGGAGGAGGCCCTCTTCACTGCGCGCTTCAGTCCTCCGAGCTGTGGCGTGCAGGTGAACAAGCTGTGGTACAAGCCCGTGGAGCAGTTCATCTTACCCGAGAGCTTTGAAGGGACCGTGGTGTGGGAGAGTCAAGACCTCCACGGGCTCGTGTCGGGAAACTTGCACAGGGTGACCGTGCATGACGGTGGCGGAGTCCTCCGGATCATTACTGCTGGGGAGGGTGCACTGCCTCATGAATTCATGGAAGGTGTGGAAGGAGTTGCAGGTGGCTTCATTTACACCATTCAGGAAGGTGACGCTCTCTTGCGTAGCCTTCACTCTCGGCCTCAGAGACTCGCTGATCACATAAGGAGCCTCCATGAGGAAGATGCCTTACTGACAGAGGAGAGCAGTGTTCATGGTGACATTGTTTTTGTGGATGTTGTAGACACTTACCGAAATGTTCCTGCAAAATTATTGAACTTCTATCGATGGACTGTGGAAACCACCAGCTTCAGTTTGTTGCTGAAGACAGATGATGACTGTTACATAGACTTAGAAGCTGTGTTTAAAAGAATTTCCCAAAAGAATCTGGATGGGCCTAACGTTTGGTGGGGAAATTTCAGATTGAATTGGGCAGTGGACAGAACTGGAAAGTGGCAAGAACTGGAGTATCCCAGCCCAGCTTACCCTGCATTCGCGTGTGGGTCAGGGTATGTGATCTCCAGGGACATTGTCAACTGGCTGGCAAGCAACTCGGGGAGATTAAAGACCTATCAGGGTGAAGATGTAAGCATGGGCATTTGGATGGCAGCCATAGGACCTAGAAGATACCAGGACAGCCTGTGGCTGTGTGAGAAGACCTGTGAGACAGGAATGCTGTCTTCCCCTCAGTACTCCCCTCACGAGCTGACAGAGCTGTGTGAACTAAAGGGAATGTGTGGTGACCCTTGTCAGTGTGCAACAAGGTGACAAGAGATTCATACGGGCTGCGTGAAGACAAGGGCAGGTGGATGATAATCTCCATGTAAGTCTGAGAAGAGCAGCCATGGTTGGCAGTAGAATAGATAGTCTTTCAGGAGAGCCCTGGGCTGGCACCTTCACCTGAACCAGTGTGCTACTAATTGTGCTGATTTCCTTCTTTTAAAAAAAATCAATTAATAACTGTAGTTAAGTTTTTATTTATATATTGGAAAATGATTTAAAATTACCAAATTGTTTTATAAAAGGAAAAGTATTTCTAAATCATGATTAATAGTTCATCTGAGTTTGAATTTCTGCCTGGATTGCATAGGTCTGTATGGCTTGATTAGACAACACACGCCAAAAAACTCACAAATACTGTGTGCTTACTTACATGAGCAGTGATCACTTATACCAAAGTTTTGGGTTTCTGGAAATAATGTCAGATTTTGTGGCTCTTGAATGAAATGGGCAGTTTGACCTTGGAAAGGAACTGATATAATTCTCAGTCATGGACCTGGCTTAAATATGTTCATTTACTTAGACTAATATCCATGTTTTTTTGTTAATGCTTTTTTTTTTGGTCATTTAAGATAAATCCTGAAGATAAATGTAGTACTCCTGTTAAAACACATTTTTATGAATATACTTCTTAGGGTTTTTGTGTCATAGGGAGGATTTTGCTTTCATCATTGACCCCTGGTTAAGTTGGTCAGAGCTGGGAACCTGCGAATACTATGCTAAGTTTAGGTATAACTATGGAGAAAAGCCTGTGGATTGCCTTGTTAAGGACTCTCAAGATAGTATACCTGAGAAGAAAAAATAGCAGGCATATGATAGTAAAGGATGTGCCTCCCTGAATTTAAGGGACACTTCCCTATGTGACCAAATCATTTCGGTAACCTTTTAAAATAGTATCAGTAGAGAATTTCATTAAAACTAGTCTATGACAGACATTAACTATATTCAGATGTTATTAGACTAGCTAGTTTCTATTTAATAATCAATAGTGAGGAGCTATAAAAATACATATGAAGTAAGATCAGAAGATCATGAGTAGTCAAAGCCTTTATTACTGCTATTATATACAAGCCTACAAATGGTCTCTTCCTGGTGAAAAGTACATCCTTTGTTATACTTTGAGCAAGCTGTAAAACCTCATTTGACAGTAGAACTGTTCCAGCAAATCATTTCTTTCCAGCGAACCCCAGTCACGATGAACAGTCAAGTCACTAAATTTTTAAAGCTGATTGTTACCATCTCACTAGTAGACAATCTCCATTTTCCACAGAATAAAACTGTAATGACTGTAGGTCATTTCCTAGTTCAATTTCTCTGCCCGGCATCTAAAATTAGAACAAAGGTAGGGGGTAAGACAGACCTGACAAAAGATGACCTCCATGCCACAGGTTACTCAAAGTCTAATAAATATGTGCTCCCTGCTCAGAACTGGACCATGTTAGACAGTTTAATCATGTCTTACTGTGGAGAATTGAGCTTGACTGTCTATTGGGGGTGGCTTACCTTGGGACTTTCATAGGACAGCAGAAGTTCTGACACAGGAACTTTGAGAAGACGTGACAGGAATGCCTTCACCTTTTGAATGGTCATGGAGCCTATAAAAGAAAAGGAAGATGTCTCAAAGGACAGCTACCTGTAAAACCAGGTCACATAATGAGACCAAGCTGCAATGATAGCTGTCCCTGTCAGGTATCAATTCACTCAGGAAAATATGTAGAGGTAGACTTGTGTCTTTCTACCACTTACTTGAGTCATTTGGGATACTCGTGGAAGTGAAGTCAGTGTTTGACCCAGGTGCCCCTAACAGTTTTCGTGCCATTTCAGTAGGTATTATTCCTTAATCTGATAAACCAGAAATTAGATTCTCAGCTCAGAGGAAAAGACAGGTGAAATAATGGTTTTCTTTGTAAGTCTTTGTAATTACTTCTTCTGAGTTACTTACTGAAAGAAGCTTGGAGTGGGCTCAGGTGCCCTGAGGAGATAGCTCATCCTCCTCTGGGAAGGGAGGGTATAGACTGAGATGGACAAGGTCCAGCATAGCTATCCTGTGATTATCAAAAATGTGTCCCATGTTACATACACAAGCAACCACCAGGCCTGGAATGTAATTTAACTGAGCAAATGCTTTGGTCTGTTCAGAACATGGTATGAACTTCTTTCCAAAGATGGGTTGTGGTAAATAGTAGAGATTTAATTATGAAAACCAGTTTCTTTGAAGCTTTAGCTGGAGGTACAGCAATAGTGTGGTGTTCCCACAAATATCACGACATAGTCAAATGAGTATTTTTCTATCAATCATTTTTGTAAAAGCTGTGTGTTTTTATGCAACTTGTGATAATAAATGTGATCTTTATTTTAGAATAAAAAAAAAAGTGCCTATACTACCCAAAGTGATCTAAGAAGTCCAGGTAGTACATATAAAACACTCAATATTACTTTTGCAGAAACAAAGTAACTTGTTTTTAAAAATTCTATGAGGTATCCAGGTTACATAAATAACTAGACATTAAAATTTTAAAAATGCTTCCTGATATAAAAATAATAAAAGCTGAATGTTGAATGGTTTTATGTTAACATGAAGTTAAATGAGGAAGCAATATATAATAAAATTGAGAATACATAAATTAACCTTCAATTTGATGATCAACTCAAAATATAGTTAATGATATATGCTCATTAAAACATCATTCAATAGAGAAAAATGTGGAAACCTATAAAATGTCCTTCCACATGAGTGGATTTAGGCAATTTGGGATGAACTATGAAATGTTTTCAAACTTTATGAAGATAATAAATTAATAATATGTACAATGATCAACTTTTAGTATAGTATGCTAAGTGAAATAAGTCATTCACAAAAACAAATATCATGAGATTCTACTTATGAGATATGTAATTTAACTAAACATACAGGCCAAAAGGAATGGTGTCTGGGATGGAAAGGTGAGAGAAAAATGAGCACTTGTTTGGGAGAGAATTGAAATTTTACTTTTATGTGATACAAACTTTCTAGAAATATGTTACAAAACCATTTGAATCACCACTTTTGAACAGAACATTTAAAAGACAGTAAATTTAATTATAAGTAAGTTAATGGTTTTGATCACAACTAAAATTTTAAAAACCTTTTATAGATAAACAGAATTTTGAAAATCTTTGTTACCTTTAAAATGCTAAAGTCTTATTCCTAAACAAGAGAACAAATTTATTTGTATAAAGATGAGGAATGTGTTAGTACTTCTAGCTACTTGGAAGCCTAAGACAGAGAAATGCAAATCTAGCTTCAGCAACTTAGTAAGAATCTGTTTCAAAATAAAAGTAAAATGGGGCTGGAGATGTAGCTCAGTATTATAGCATCCCTGACTTCAATCTCTAGTATACATACATTTATGCCTATATGTATTTATATCATAAAATTTAGATAAATTATGTAAATAATCACAAACAGAATAAACAAAACAAGGGTAATATTTATACAAGTAAGTAAAATAAAAGTTTATTGAAAATAGGCACATTGTTCACATGCATTTAAATTTCACCTAATATTGTCCTAAAGTGAAAAGTCATGAAAATTTCTATTCCATTATATCACATAGGCATAAAAATAAAAACTGTATTAACTTATGTGTGGAAATCCACTTAACAACACTGAAGTTACTCTAAATAGTGGAACTCAAAAAGAGACACAAGAATTAGAGAAAATGTAACCCACAAAATTCTGAATAAATACATTACTTTAGAAATCCTTATTTTATATTTTTTTTTAGTTATGGATAGATAGAATGATTTTTTAAATTTGATTTAATTAATTAATTTGCTTATTTATTTTTTGTGGCACTAAGGATCAAACACAGTGCCTCATATATGCTAGGCAAGCACTATGCCACTGAGCAACAGCTCCAGCCTTAGAAATCTTTATTTAAACCACAATTTTCAGCTGCACTTAAATAACTACTATGAGCAGCCATTGAGAATTACTGTTATTCATGACACAGCAGAGAAAGTCCACAGAAAATCCAGTGTAAGCATTTATAAAATGCTCTGATGTGAAAAATTTGAATGTATAAATAATTAAATTATATTAAAGATTTCTTTAAGATATTATATGATATTAATATATTACAATGGTTTAACCTAGAAATATTTAGAACTTGCACAGATATTCTAGGAAGCCAAGATCAATACACATCAGTCAAATTATGCAAATCCTCACAGGCATAAGAATATTCTTTGTTAATTTGAATGTAGCGAGATCAATGAAGAAAAAGAAGGAGCTTAATGAATTAGGAATCATGGTAAAAACAGAACAGGGTATGCTTTTTAATGTTTGAAAGAGAAATAAATCTGGTTTTAAAAAACTTTTATTTTAGCTTCTCAACATTTTAAAAAGGTTACTTTCTCCTTGACATTTGGAACTTTTATCTGTATTTTTTGCTTCATTGATTTATCCACTTGTATATATATCTACTGTCCCTATGTTTAATTGTTTTTTTTTTCCCCAAATTCCCGTATTATTTTGGAGGGAATAGAAAGGTGACCAAGGATGACTTAGAGATAGCAAGAAGTGTTTATTGGAAAATGAAATATGACTCATTGTGGTATTCTCTTGTAACTTCTGATGTTTCTTAATGCTGTCCTCATTATGAGAGAGAGACAGAGAGAGAGAGAGAGAGAGAGAGAGAGAGAGAGAGAGAGAGAGAGAGAGATCATAGAAGATTATAGAGAAATTTTTTTTTTTCCATTACAGGAACACTAAAACAGTTTGGAACCATTTTCAATCTCCAGATTGTGAGCACTACATTTAACTAACAAAAGAGAATAATAAAAAGATAGGTAAAACATGAAAAGAAAATCTTTTAACATTTTTTTCCTGAATAAAGTAATGCTCAATCTTCATCCTAAAAACAAGAATCTAAAACTTTTTCATGCAGAAAAGAAGCTGCCAATGGACATTATACAACATTAATAATTAAATATCTATGGTCAATTGGGAATTCTGAATAAAATGTATGCTCACCCACAAAGACCAGGTTTCTATAGATTTCTAACATCACATCCTTATATAAAATCTTCTGATCAGAGTCCAGGCATTTCCACTCCTCTTCAGAGAAATTAATGGCCACATCCCTGAATGTCAATGGTTTCTGAAATAAAAATAAGTAAATACATATCACATCAGCTTATGATCATTGACAGTTTTTAATTTGAAACAAGTTGTAATGAGAGTTACAAGAGCTGACTCTCACATCAGGAAGTGACCTCAATCATTCCATGTGATACTTTATTTTGTGGAACTGGGTATTGAACACAGGGCCTTGTGCATGCACAAGTCAAGCACTCTACCAACCAAGGTATTTCCCCACCCCAATAATTTGTTATAAGCAATGAAATTGGTAAAAAATAAAACATTGAAGGAAAGAAGTCATTAAAAATCTGACATAATCTTAATGAATAAATTAAAGTTGCAATAAGTAATTGAATAATCAAAAGAAGCACAACAACTAAAAAATGACACTTGAGATATACATAGGAAAATTGTAAGTAATAACAAGACTCAGAGGATAGTTGTTACTTCTGTGTGTAGAAGATATATGAGATCAGTGAGACACACCAAAACTTTCATCAGCCTCCATATTTATTTGAATGGCAACCCCCAACATTGTCTATATTCTCATTACTTAATTATACCATAAAACAAGTACTTTATTTAAAAATACATTTTGCTTCTTTAGACTACAACATTATAACTCACTTTTAAACAAATAAAATAAAAATCTTAACTATAAAACAATATTACAAAGCACTTAAATGCTTGGGAAAACTTGAATTACATGACATAAAGATATAACAAAAGAAACAATAGAAAACAAATTAGGTGAATAGAATATTAATCCCACATTTTGTAAGAAAATTGACACATCAGATTAAACATCCCAGATTTGAGGAACCACTTTAACTGTGAAATTCTATCCCCACATGGTTCTTTATGAAGTAGGGAGTAAGGGAATACTAACCAGGTAAGAAAACATTTTTGAATAGTTCTTTTACCTTTACATGTCTTTCTGACAATTTGCAAATGTCCATTATGAACATACACACAAAAATTCTCAATGAAATTCTGAAAAATCACATTCAAAAATGTATTACAAATATAGTGCACCACAATCAAGTGAGGTTTATCTGAGGGATGCAAGGTTTATTCAACAGGTGAAAATCAATAGTTGTCATATATCACATCAATAGACTTAAAGAAAAAATTATATGATTATATCAATAGCTGCAGAAAAAACATTGAAAAAACACAGCACCTCTTCACGTTCAAAACACTAGAAAAATTAGAGAAAATTTGTATATAAAAAATGGAAGATCATTCTACTGTCATGTATAACTAATTATGTGATAGCCAAGCCAAAGTGACTCCATTTTGTTTAGTAACTCAATTTTGTAAAACAATCATGCTGAATAGAAAGGTCATGACTGGGGCAAGTTGTTCTATTCCTTTTATTATAGAAAACCTTAAGAACATGGAACTACCTAACAGGGCATTGTTTCTGTAACTAGGGTAATGGGGCTCTGTTTCTGTAACTGAGGTGACAGGACTAGTTGTGATTGGCTAAGCTTCTGGCCACCTGACTGCATTCTCCCACTTCTGTATCTTGGCTTTCTTGCATTGGCTAAACCCACAAATGTCTCTTTTGTGGTTTTAAGTCTTAAAAGTAGTGCCCTTGCAATTGTTCGGGGCTGATCAAAGAACAGACTTTATGTGTGCTTCAATAAAGGTTTGATTTGATTACATACTAGTGTTCTGGAAGTCAATATATGAAACCTCAGATGTTTCTTTAACTATACGAATTAGAACATACAAACAAACAAAAATAAAAAATAAATAAAACTAGGGACAGTAGAAACATACCTCAATATTGTGAAAGTTATCTATGATAAACCCAGAGACAACATCATTCTAGATGAAAAAAAATGAAGAACTAAAAAAAGACAAGGATACACTCCCCCACAACTTCTATTAAACATAGTTGAAACTGTAGCCAAAACAATCAGAGAGACAAAAGAAATTAATTTGGTACAAATATGTAAAGAAAAAGTATCACTTTTTTCAACATGATTCTATATTTAAAATTCCAAAAAATTCACCAGAATACTTCTAATACTATTAAGGAAATTCAGCAAAGTAATAAGATATAAAAACAAAACCTATAAATCAAAACATTCCCATATACATCAATGATGAATCCACTGAAAGAGAAATTAGGAAAACTACCCCACTCATAATAGCCGCAAAAATATGAAATACCCAGAGCTGGGATTTTGGCTCAATGGTAAAGTGCTCACTGGGCACGTGCAGG